AAAAAGCTGGCTAGAAATGATATTTAAGGCAAAATTCAGTTGAGAATACAATTCGACAGTCTGAATAACACATATTCATTCTTTGACAGAGTCTTAAGACATTTAACTAATTAATAACTTAATATATATAAAGGCAGCAAGATAACTCTTAAGAAGGTGAAGAAGAAGCAGGCTGAAATAGACCCTAATTGTTAGTACTTGATTTTGTTCCCGAACAACTGAAACTAACAAATCTATTCTTAATGGAACAACAGAGATTTAGATATTTCAACGTTTTCTTTCATCTGCCTCAAACATTTTCTTTATATTTTTAGCCTTTCTCCACATTTTCACTCTTAACTTATATTTGAAATATTATTCTTATGCTCTTATATTCTTATACATATATATATTCTTCCCTTACAGTTTTACTTTTATTTAACTTTTTAAATAGATCTGTTATTCTTCATTTCTCCCCCATTTCGACCAATTTTCTCATCGAATTTCCCCGCCTTGAAATGATATTGAATGTTTTTATTTTTTTTGTTAAATTGTCTGTTGCTGCAATCTCCAGGCCCCACCCGCTGGCTATGTGCTCAATTAACGCAACATAAAACAAGTCAAATGCAAAGAAACAACAACAACAACTTGATTTACATATGAACAATGACAACAACAACAATCCAATTCAATTTGGAGCCAAAAAACAAAAAGTTGCCGCACTCAAAAGATATTGTTTATAAATGTTGTCTAGTGAATGTCGATGTGGATGCTCGACAATGATGATGGCGTGGATTTTGTTTTATGCATTTATAATGAAACCATTTAAGAGACAACAACAAACAACAACAAACAACAACAACAACAACAAGCCACAATCGACAACAACAATCGCCGCCTGCAACTTTGGCGAGTTGTTAATAAATTGATTGTTGTAAAAGCGCGACTTTTGGCCCAGACGAGTCGATAAGCAACTTTTGTTGCTGCTCTTTTGACCTTGACTAAATGTTGCCGTTCTTCTTCTTCTCCTTCTTGCTGTTGTTGTTGTTGTTGCTGCTGTTGTCGCTTTTGGCTGCGCATCGGCGTTTTGTTATTTTGTGCAATACAATTTTTCCCCATTTTTCAGGCTGTCAATAATCAAATTTGTTGAACTCGCTTCATGGCGCTTTTTATGCAAATTTGTTGTCGTACATTTTTTAAATACCCCTTGCAAATGTTCTCTGAATGGGGTATATTAGGCTTGGCATGGGTTTGTAACAAGCAGAGAGGTTTAGGTAGCAGCTCTAAGGATACAAAGCAGATCAAATTTCATGAAAAGTATCGATAACTTCTCTTAAATTACCCGAAGTCGATAGTAATCGATAAATATCGATTTGAAGTTTTGTCTTTACCAGTACAATTTACTTTTGGCATCCTGACACTCCCTTACCCACTTTTTAAGAGGTATAACTTAATGTTTTGCTCTATGCTCACATTGAAATGTTAGCTTAAAGCCCTGAAATTTCGATAACAATCCTCATGTTAGCTAAATGAAGTACGCATGCGCATTACAGGGTAACTGCTAGTCGTGCACGCTCGACTAGAGCACTCTTAGTTGCTGCTGGCTGAAAATGCCAACCGGATATTCCAGCTAAAAGAGATCTCTTTAACCATGGCCGAGCGACACGTAGAGCAACGTGTCCAGCGACGCACAGATTGGAATTACAACAACGTGAATTAAGTTCACGTTAAGAAAGTCGTTTTAACATTTAGTTTTCAGCTTTAGTTTTACAGCTCAGCTGTTGCAAACGTGCCTGATCCACAGTTATTTTACGGTCAGCAGCAAAGGCTGAGCACTGGGAAATGGGAACTGAGAACTGAGAACTGGGTAACTGAGAACTGGGTAACTCCCCCAGGTGCCAGTTAAAGTCAAGTACCAACTGTCAACTGCGGCTGACGTTTTTATCGGGCTTTGCATTGGCAACAGCACACGGCTAAAAATGCGCAAATGTGTCACAAGATATCAATTTGCATTGCGGCACGATTCTGCTCGGCTGTGACGTCATGTTCGCCATGCCATGTGACAGCCTGTTCGATATGTATCGTTATCGATGAGCACGACCTAAACCGAGAGAAGTATTTAAATAAGGCTGAGAAGTCAGTTATTGCCAGCTCGTAAATACGTAATGCCGGAAAAGTCATGTATCTAGTGAATAGTTGTTGCAGTTTTTCTATTGTCACGAAAAGATCGATAAATATCGTTGTATGACTCAAAGAATTTTCAGCGAGTTGTTTAAGAGTATAAAAGGCGGTCTGTGCAACTAGATATGAACCCAATCTGTAAATGATATTGTTATATAATAACCAATAACAATTTCGATACATTTGATTGGGTAGATAATCGAATTAATTATTATTACTATTTTTGATACTAAGTCTGAAGGTCTGAAGGGCAATGCGACAGCCTTAACACTCTGTTTGCTACTAAAAGTTTTCTGCGGAGTTTATGAAAACTTTTGTCAGAAATAAAACCGATATATGTTGTTTTATTTTCCATCGATTTTATGTGCTTACTTTAAGCCATTTTTCTATAAGCTATCGACACTATAATTACTTATTAAATGATCGGGAAATATATAAGTATATATATATATTATAAAAATCGTTTCTTAGCTATCGATAACAGGGCATGTTTTATAATTATAATTTCTTAGCTATCGATAACAGTGAATATTTTATATTTATCGTTTCCTAGCTATCGATGACAGTTCATATTTTATGATTATCATTTATCAGCTATCGATAACAGTGTAATATCGATTGAAGGCCGTTATAACAAACTGATATACCCCCATTTAGCCTGATTTGCCTTAGTGGTATGAAAAGGCAAAATTGATTGGCCCCGCTGGTCAATTGCTTGACCAACTTTAAAGCAGCCGGCACTGGCAACAACAACAACAACAAGCATTTGGCCCCATAGTCAAGTGGCTGGTTGACCGTTTGGCTCAAATTGCAAATGCAAATTGCGAATTTTTGTGGTCATTGTTAAGTAAAGGCCATAAATAGGCGCACAGCCAAAGCATCAGCAACAACAACAACAACAACAACTTCAGTTAACAACAATGCAATAATTTTATTGTCAACTTTACATTTTGTAACTGCCAGCTACAACGAATCACAGACAACTTATGCAGATACAGAGACAGAGACAGATACAGATACAGATACATTCACGGCGCTTGCCCCTTGGGGGCAGATTTCAATCTAGCCTATAATTGCCTTGCATGAACAAAGAAGATGCACACAAGCGATTAGTTTGTACGCACGAATTAGGGATGTGCACTCAACAAAAAACTTCGATATTTTTATCGTTATCGAAAGCGATATATTAAGGCTATACATCGATATTTGATAGAATAGTCTATCGAGCGACTAAACGGGCGCAATACAACGATTTAATTGAACCTAATTCACGCTAATTTGCGATAAACAAAATTCTGAAGCTATTCTTAAACACTTCTGAAAACAAGAAATTTTCCCAAATTCCAATTTATCGATAACTTTATCGATAAACGAGACACATCGATTGTATGCAACGATATACAACTGTTCGATATGTTTAGTTTATGTTCGAGTTGAGAAACAAATCAGATTCTTTTTATTGAAAGTAAAGTTAACATACGAGGCGCAGCCCAAGCTGGCAGCTGAATTGACATTGATGCATCTCTATAAATAGGTATGCATATTCTTGCCACGCCCATTTGTTGATTTCCTTATTGGCACGCTTGGCACTTTCAGTTTCGCTAAGCTTCTCTTTGGGGCTTGGCTGGCTGCTAATTCATTTCAATTATGCAATTGCCGCATCTGCTGTCTGCATCTGCGTTCCTTTAGCTTGCATATCGTGTGCCTGTCATGCCACTTCATCATCATCATCATCATCATCAGTATGATCATCATGATCTTGTCGATCATCTAATAACCGCCTGCCATCATCTACAGCCTTATATTTAACATAATTGCTCGGGGCTGCGCAAGCGGGCAGAAGAAGAGAACACTTTTTGCCTTGTAATGCCACAAAGTGCAGCTGGCAACGCCGCCTGTCGCTAAACACAGCTTGCCAGACCTTGTGATTATCGACAGCGACGCCTCCAGATGTGTGTAATATAGACAAAAAATATTAAAAAAAAAAATAACACCATAAGTTATACGATATTCGTATTCTGTTCACAGTTGCTAAACGCTGCGCACACGCCTTTGGCAAACTTTAACCCATCATGTTTGCTTTCACTTAAAATGATATATGTTTTCCGAAATAATATTCCATATTTTACAATATTCAAGAATTCGAAATTCTTTTGTAAATTAGCATTTTAGACATATGAAGCCAGAAGTTCCTGAAGTTCGTCTTAAATCAAGATCCGTCGGAATTTTTATATTATTATATTAATATTATTATTATCATTGATTTTATTATTTTTTTTTCTTATTATTATTATCATTATTATCATTATTATTATTATTATTTTTTTTTTTTGTTCTTATTATTATTATTATCATTATAATTATTATTATTATTATTATAATTATTATAATTTTTATTATTAGTATTATCATTTTTATTATTATTATTATTATTATTATTATTATTATTATTATTATTATTATTTTTATTATTATTATTATTATTATTATTATTATTATTACTATTATTATTTTTATTATTATAATTATTATCATTTTTTTTATTATTATTATTATTATCATCATTATTATTATTATTATTATCATTATTATTATTAGTATCATTATTATTATTAGTATCATTATTATTATTATCATTTTTATTATTACTATTATTATTGCCTTCTTTTATTATTATTATCCATTAATGCAGATTCCGCTTTGAAATAATATCCTACAGGCCCGAGCTGTAAAATTTCAGACTTCCACTTTCACTCTCATTCCACTTAACCTAATATAATGTCGTCTGCTGCGTTTCGCTCACATTATTCTTTATTTTGTATTATTAACATTTTGTTTACCTTCTTTGGCCTTGGAGCTGGTGAGGCTGTGGCCGATGTGATTCCAGAAGTTGAGGCGACAGCCAAACACTTTCATTTCCTTGACGCGCTCCTTCATGTTGCCAATGACGCTTGTTTCGGCCAGACTCACGCAGGGTATCATTACTGCAACTACAACAGATTGGTAGTTGCCAAAACAACAAACGCGCGCGTTTTCTGTGCGTTTTTCGTCGCGCTACGCAAAATTTCTATGCAAAATCTGACAAGATGCAGCGCAAAAATCACAGAAACATAAAAATTGAAATTGAAATTAAGGAATTGTTGTGGGAATTGAATTTATGGCAATTTAAAATCATTTGACGCGTTGCTGGAAGGGCGCGAGATGTGCAGGGGTGAAGGCAATTGCTTCACTTGTTTGTAATTGTGATTGACAGCGACGCACACACACACACACACACACACACACACTTATGTGTGTGTGCGACTTGTTACGCGTTTCGTCGTTTTAACGCTTTTTTCGAGTGCTCGTCCAACGCTCGCGGAAGCGTTTTTTTGGCAATATTTTTCTTGGCCAACTTGAGTTTTGTCTATTGCACGCTTTAATTACCAAAACAAATTTATATAAATAATAAATCGCAAGCTATGCGCAATGTTTCAACAATCAATCAAAACTAGCAAAAACTATCAAAACAAAAAAATGGGTAGATAAACTCAGTTTTGATACCTTAACTACAAATACCCTTCGGTAAAATAAAGCTACAATATATTCTAATTCTTTTATACTAAGTCAAAACTCTATATCTAGCACGTTTGTTTCTAAGGGAACTACATGGATTATCTTTAGGCAAGAGCTTAGTGGGAGCCCGAACTCATTATGCTTAAGCAAGGGCCAAGCCGAAGGCTTAATACCCTTAGAAAAATATCTTTTATGCGAAAGTTGCATTCACGATCGTATCGATTTGTTTCTGCTGATGAATTGGACGAAGAGAGAAGCTTATCATTGCTGAGTCGAGATATCCTGATAAACATAAAAACTTCATTTTCATCCAAATTTTCCAATGACAGCTATAAGAAATAGAGCTGCAGTCTGATCGACCCCGTTGAATGTGCCGAGAGAAGCACGAAAACCAAGTTTCATTGCATTAGCCTCACTGGAAGCTCAGTTCACATAGGTTAGAGACAGATATACCCTTCTCTACTTTTAGTATGAGATATTTCCCTCTCTGCGTGACACATTTCGTGACATTTCATTATAATACCCAATCCATGGTTACCCAGGGTATCTACTGCAAATCACACCAACAGAATTTGCATTTGTCAATTTGTCAATAAATCAATCAACATCAAAATCAGCTGCTGCTGCTGCAATTTTTAACGATATCTCTTGATTTATGTTATTAAACGCGAAACGTGCTTTGTTTGCATAGCTAATCAGAAAATTCATAAACAAGAGATTCTGTGAAGAACAAAACCACGAAAACTTGATGCGAAATTGCGTCATGAAGATTCGTCAATAAAAAAAAAAAAAAAAAACAAAAACAAGAGAAACAGAAACAGACTAAATAACAACAAAAGAAACCGGAAAGAAACAACAAAAACACAAACAATAAAAACACGTAATGACAATAAATGAGGTTAGTTTCAGCTGCTGAAGTTGCAGTTTGCAGCCAAAGCTAATGATTGCGATAATGATTAAAGATCAATGAATAATCTTGAGAACCGAAAGTCGGTTGAGGTTAAGTTCCGCCTACCCCCCTCCCCAACCCCAAGCATTCCTCAAACAATCTATCAATAAAATCATCTTTCGAGCAATTCGCTTCGGCAATTGTTTAAAGCCAAGATCTTAATCTTTATTGATTTTCGGGCGCCAATGAAGTAATGAAGCAACTAATGAAGCAAGTGATGAAGTAACTAATAAAGTAGCTAATGAAGTAAGTAACTATTGACGTAACTAATGAAGTATCTAATGAAGTAACTATTGAAGTAGCTATTGAAGTAACTTATAAAGTAACTAATGGAGTTTCTAATGAATTATGCAACTCCTAAAGTACCTAATGAAGTAGTTAATGAGTAATAAGTCATAAAATCTAAGAATTATTAAAATTTGCTTTTCATGGTTGGATTTTTAAATAGTTCTTTGTTTATACAATTTTAAGTGTTCAAGGTAAAAGCTCTCGACAGTATTCTCTGTATTTTCTTTATTATTAATAAAGAAACTTTGAAAGTTGTTTTCTACTACTTTCCACTACGCTAAATATTTAAATGATTTATTTGAGCTCAAAATTTACTTCAGATTATTTAATTTATACAGTTTAACACCTGCGCTTTAAGCGTCTATTTCTGTTTTATTTGATCGCATTGTGGAAAATCCATCCGATCAGATAGTTGAAATTCTTAAGATAAACATTGGCACAAGGCAAGAATGTGGGTAATACCCGCCTATTCTATCTGTAAATTGAAATAACGTTGTTTTGTTGCCCGAGTTGATCATAATACGATAATCATAATGATAATCATTGTCATTATGATGTTGTTGATGATGAGACTTAAAAACCTTGAGCCAACACACATTGGCGTCTAAATATCTATGTACGCATATCTGAATCTATTAGTTTAAGTATCTGTATCTGTATCTGTATCTGTATCTGTATCTGTATCTGTATCTGTATCTGTATCTGTATCTGTATCTGTATCTGTATCTGTATCTGTATCTGTATCTGTATCTGTATCTGTATCTGTATCTGTATCTGTATCTGTATCTGTATCTGTATCTGTATCTGTATCTGTATCTGTATCTGTATCTGTATCTGTATCTGTATCTGTATCTGTATCTGTATCTGTATCTGTATCTGTATCTGTATCTGTATCTGTATCTGTATCTGTATCTGTATCTGTATCTGTATCTGTATCTGTATCTGTATCTGTATCTGTATCTGTATCTGTATCTGTATCTGTATCTGTATCTGTATCTGTATCTGTATCTGTATCTGTATCTGTATCTGTATCTGTATCTGCATCTGTATCTGTATCTGTATCTGTATCTGTATCTATATCTTCAACTCTTTCTGTATCTATATTTCCAATTGTATGTGTATCAATATCTCCAGCTGTATCTATATCTATATCTCCAACTGTATGTGTATCTGTGCCTGAGCCGTAGGCGCAGTTCAATGAGCTGACAGTTAGACTTGAGCTTAGCTGCTGTTGCTGCATAATTAACATCAATTTTGACTTGTTGTTCGCTTTGTACACACTATAAATCAAAACTCAATCAAGCAAAAAGCAAAATCTAATGAACTCTACGAAAACGATTGCCGATAAGAAGCCGAATAAAAACAGCCATAAAAAACGAACGACTGAGAATAGAAAAAAAAAAATAAAAACAGCAATTGCCCAACAACTGTTTTTAAAACAGGCGCAAATTGGGCGTGGCAAGACTTCATAACAAGTACAAATCTGGAGATTTACATTTAGGCAATTATTCATAATGGAATTTTTTGATTTTTCAACTGAAATAGGGTGGGCAGAAGATATTAAAGCTTATTGAGACGGACAAAATAAGTTCAAAATATAGAAGAAAATGGATTTTGAGAAAAAGTTCCGAATGAAAAGTTTAATAAGTCTGAACTTTAAGCAACAGATCTGATAGAACAGATATGCAGATATATTCAGTTTATTCAGACTATATCTGTATCTGTATCTGTATATACATCAAAAGTTATCTAAGCAAACATCGGCCAACTGAACGAAATTCATTTTGTTTGGTTTTCCTTCATAATATATATCCTACATATATAAACACATATATAGAACTCTGAACAATTCAAAGACCTTTGAGCTAGTTAAAAGACACTTTAATTAAAAACTCTCGAATAATCTGGCAAACTTTTGCGAATAAACAAGCTTAAATGCATTTACCTTAAGTTCAAGTTAAATTTACAGTTTATAGAATTACAAGTGGGCTATAAATAATAAAAAAAAAAAGTTGGCGAACATCTGGCGATAACTGTACGCTCAAAATTAACGACCAGAAAAAAAGCTCTAAAATCTTACAAAAAAAAAAAAGTTAAGATATAGTCAAGAGAAATTTGCAATTAAAAAACCCGCTGCGCTTCCTCGACTTAAGAGCTAAGATCGTATCTGTAAAGGTTTTTGTTGCTTTATAGACAGATATATGGCACAGATGAATACCCTGTAGTTTGAACTTGCGAAGAAAGCGTTGCGTATGCATGCAAATATTTTTTTTTGGGAGGAGGAGGAGAACGAGGAGGGGGAGGCGTGACAGTGAAAGAAAGCAACCGTTTTGACCTGATTCGAGTGGACGAAAACAACAACAACAACAAGAAGAAGAAGAAGATAAATAAAAGCAATATGCGAAGCGTGCACAAAGCAAAGCGCCAAAAACAGAAAAAAAAAACAAAATAAAATAATAATCGTATAATAAATTTTAAGGCGGTCAAGCGTTGCGACTTTCAAAGTTAACAACAAGGGCAGAGGGTCTGCCATGAGGGGGAGGGGGAGAGGGGCAGGAGATAAGGAACAGAGGCTGCTTTCGCTTGTCATCCAAATGAAAAGGGGGCACGTCGCTGACCTTGACCCGATCGCTCGGCCCAATAAATATGCAATTTTATTACAAATCAATCCCCCCTCCCCCCTAACATCGCTCACTTACCCTTCCCTTCGATCTGCGCTTTGCCCGCAGCACGTCGCGAGTTAATTTACTTTGGTAAATTGTTAACGGTACAAATGCAAACCGAGATGCAGTGCACAAGATAGGCAGAGAGGGGGGCGAGGGGCGGGGCAGGGCGAGAGTGAGAAAGAGAGTGGGGAATGGTGAACTAAAGAAACTTGTTTGGCCGATTTGCGGTTGTTGTTGTTGTTCTGTTTCGGCAGCAACCTTCGAGATGTGCAGTAATAAGAGAGTGCGCGAACTAGAGAGAGAGAGAGAGGGACAGTGGGAGGGGGGTGTGCGCACAGGGCGAGTGCAGAAACCACAACAAACGAGCAAACAACCTTTTTATTGCCGTACCAGCAAAAACAACCGTTAGCTGAAGGATCTGCACAGCCAGAGCAAATGTGTGTGTGTGTGTGTGTGTGTAAGAGAGAGAAAGAGAGGGCAGAGGGTCGCAGTGCAAGGCAAGACGTGCAAACAGTGTTGCAAAGAAACACAAAAAAAAGCCAATTTCAGCTGTAATTAAAGCAAAACAATAGCTAACTTTAATTGTAAATCGTTTTTCAATATAGAAAAAAGCAATTAAGACTAAAATTTAACTAGCCCAATATAATTTAATTAGTTAGTTATACTTTTTAATTATTTCAGTTTATTTTGTTCCTTTCAATTTATTTTAAAATAAGTGCCAAAATACTAGCCGCAGTGCTGGGCAACGTTTTCTATTTGCATTTAATTTGAATATATGTTTGCAAATTTCTTCGAAATTATTAACACTATAAAAAAGCTAAAGTTGAGAGCAAAAAGCTAGGTTTGACTGTGGAAAAAAGGCTAAATTGGCAACAGTTACTAACGCATATTATAAATTAGCCATGCCCAGCAAAAGTTGCAGTTGTTTGGCCTGTTTTGGCATGCCAGTCGAAAAGTGGAAAATTCGTTTTTCCCGAAAGCTGCATAATTAACACACACCTTTCGTCGCTTGCTGTAATTGAGATACACTCAAAAAAATAAACAAGAATATTGATGCTTAAATCAGGTGGAAAACTTTGTTTAACTCTAGTCAAGGCAGAAAGTTCAGAGAGAAAGAAAGTTGAGTTAAGTCTAAGAATGAAATCAATTTGGGAAGTTTTGAGCTTTAATTGAGTATATTTTACGCTTAATTCAAGCTGGCAAATTCTTGTTAAAAATCGAGACGGATTCATGTTTAAATTTTGAACTATTCTAAAAATGAAATTCTTAGTTCTAAAACTCTTTTTTCCACTCACAAATTTTCCTAAATCAAGACTTTAATAGAGCTTTAATAGAGCTAATTTTAAGCTTATTTCAAGCTGGCAAATTCTTGTTTGAAATCGAAATAGATTTATGTTTAATATTTGAAGTATTCTAAGAATGAAATTCTTTTAGTTCAAAAACTCTTTGTTCCAATCACAAATTTTCCTAAATCAAAACTTTAATAGAGCTTTAATTGAGCTAATTTTAAGCTTATTTCAAGCTGGCAAATTCTTGTTTGAAATCGTGACTGATTCATGTTTAATATTTGAAGTATTCTAAGAATGAAGTTCTTAATTCAAAAGCTCTTTGTTCCACTCACAAATTTTCCTAAATCAAGACTTTAATAGAGCTTTAATAGAGCTAATTTTAAGCTTATTTCAAGCTGGCAAATTCTTGTTTGAAATCAACATATATCTATGTTGAATTTGTGAAGTATTCAGTATTTTAAGAGCTAGGTAGTTTTGCTGCGTGCACCTTTTGGTGGCATGCACTACCTGTAAATGCCACACGCAAACAGACCCTAACTATTCGTAACTATCCCAATTACCAAATGCCGTGTACGAGATGTTTGCCCATTTGTTGGGTTCGAGTTTTTGGCTTTTATGATCTCTTGATGCCAATCGCATTTACCGGGAATTAGTGACCGTATTGGCTGGGTGCGAGTTCCATGGTTTCTTCGTTTCGGTAGCGCTATCAAAATATTTGTAAGTCCCTGTCATTTATGGTCAGGTTACATTATGCGAAGACAGTAACAAAATGAAATGCATTTTACGAGTGAGTGTGTGTGTGTGTGTTGCTTTTTTTCTGCCTTTTTAACGACAGTTTGAAGCCAACCTTTAATGTTGTTTGGGGTTTGGGGGAATCTAACTTCGTATTTTTATGGGCCTCTTTCGTATGAAAGCCAACAAAAGAATCACTGAGACAAAAGCTTTCGTGTTGAACTCGAGTCGAGGTTTAATTGATTTCTATTGAAATTTGAAACGGAACTTTAAATGCCCTAAAAAAAAATCAAGAAATGCAACAGAAAAATGTATTTTTTTTTTACGATTCAGTTGAAAGTCGTGAAGAAAAGCATAAAATAGTTGGCCTAGAGTAAGTTTGGCATTATTTTAAGGAACATGATGAAATCAGAGAAAACAGCTTCATCTTAACAAAATCCAATGAAAAACAAAGTTGAGTTGGATTTAAATGCCAGATAGATAATATAATATGTGTATACACACAAAGTCAAGAACTTGAAAACTTCGGCAAGTCGCAGCTTTATGCATAGGCTTCAATACACCTGGAAGCCGAGCGCTACGTGATAAGCAGACTTAAGCATTTGTCTGCGACGTGACTGGCCTCAAGATCCAAAAACACAAAACAAATAAATTCCTGATAAAGCCAAACAAAACAAAAAGAAAAAGAAAAAACAACTCAAAACCAATTGCAAGCAACTTGGATATAAAGAAGAGATTTCAAGATCCTGTTTACGGCATATACAAATATTGAATTACACAACGAGAAGGTCACATTTCGGTTTACGATTCGTCTGGGGATCGGCTTAGGATGGTTAAGTGCTTGCAGCTACCTGCTTGTGGAGAGGTCAGGTACTTTTGCAGCGGCGCCTGCGCGCTAATTGGTAGAAAGAGACAGAGAGTGGGTTAGGGAGAGAGACGGCACAGAAGAATAGAACAAATTACAGTGAAAGCTCGCCAAGTGCGACGTTTGATGAGGACATTCGCAGCAAAGAGCATGTTAAAGAATTAACATTAAAATATACAACAGAATCTCTTTTAAGCAGTTCGTTAGTAGAGTTTTCACTGTAGTTCATTTGTTGCATTGTTTCCAGCAAAAAATTTCCCTTTTGAGCACTTAAATTCAGCGACACGTGCCTAGGCCAACATTTAGTCTTGCCGCGCATTAACATTTCTGCATAGCATTAACAGCTACATTAACATGAACATTAACATTTGCGTTGCAGAACAACAACAAAAGCAAGCGGCGCAAAAGAAACAACAAAGACAAGACATAAATGTAAGAAATGCTAGCCAAGCTTTATGTTTGCATGTTTTGTCTCTGTCGCACGCAAAAATCATAAACTCGCCCGCTTTTCCCTTTTTGTTATTTGTTAAAGGGTTTTTGTTCTCACGCAAGTTTCGTATGGTATTTTTTATATTTTTTCTTAACTCTTTTTTTTGTACAAGTTAATTAACAAAAAAAAATGGAGAGCCAAAGATTTTCGTTTTGTAGAAGCTGCGCGTTAGATAAGCAACAACAACGACAGCAGCGGCCCCAAAGCGGAAAGTCAAAAAAAAAACAAATAAACGAAAAAAAAAACTGCGCACGCCAAAAAAGAAACAAGTTAAACAGCTTTGTGCTTGGCGAGGCGGCGTTGCCAGACTGTCGCCAAGCCCCATAAGAGCTGGGTGTATGCAGCTAAATGCAAGTGTATGTGCGTATGTGTGTGTGTGTGTGTGTGCGTGACATAAGCCACTTTTACTGTTAGAAATGCATTGGGCAGAGATGCGCACAAATTAGTTTAAGTAGGTTTAAAAAATTGCGCGTCAAATGATTTTTAATTGGCATTTTTGTATTATTTAAATTATATGTATTTACATATTTCAGTTGTTATTTATTTGTTGTGTGCTACACTTGGGAAACTTCACTAGGATTTCATTTGTTGTTGTTGTTGTTGTTGTTGTTGTAGTTGTTGGCTTTGATTTACATTTTGTTGCCGCCACGTTTTGCCCATTAACAAAATGCAATTAACTTTGACTGGTTGTTATATTTGACAATTATCATTGCATGACTTTGGTGTTGTACTTATTTATTTATTTTATTTTATTTGTTGTTTGTTCGTTACTTTTCGCCTAAATGACATTAAAAGCGCAATTTGCGACGCCAAGAAATGTAAAAATAGCAACGAGATTATTAACAAAACTGTCGGCGAGTCGTTTGCTCTTTAATTTAATATATTTTATTTTTTAAATTTTATTTTGAATGGCACACGCGTTTAACGGCAAAGCAAAGACGTGAATTAGCAACGCGCGCAGCGCCTTTCTTAAGCCTGTTGCGCACTCAAAGACGGCTCGTAAGCAACTGAACGAAGTCGCAGCATGTTAGTGCGAGCAGAGCGAAACAAGTTGAGGGCGTCCGCTGCGGTGAGCGATTGAGCGACTGAGAGACAGAGAGAGAGAGAGTGAGCGCGAACTGCAAGACGACAGTGCAACTCTCTTTGAGAGTGGAGCAGAGCGCACATTTTGGGAGTTGATGTCTGCCATATGGGAGGAAAAAAGTACATAAACAAAATCAGGCAAAGCAACAAGAACGCAATGCAGTTGTTGTTCAACACACATACACACACACATGCACACGTATATACAAACAGCTTGTTGTTGTTGTTTGGAGTCTAGGCAAATCAATGAGCACACTTACACTTACACTTACACTTACCCATACCCATAAGCGGTTACAGTTAGAGTTTAGTTACGTACCTGTAAAGAAAGAGTGGGAGAGAGAGAGAGAGCAGGTTAATAATCGCTGACAAATAAAGTTCTAAAGTTGTTAAATTTGCTGCCAGTTGCACAGGAAGAGCCCCAAGCAAGTTTTTGTTGTTTTTTTTTTTTTGGGCAACTTGCAGTGGCAGCGGCAGCTGGGGCACAGACAGGCATGGACATGTTTTGGCTGGCAGCCAAAATGGAAATGGAGATGGAGCTGATGATGGCTAATATCAATAATATGGCGCAATTAGAATAACAAAAACTCCCAGCGAAAGGCAGTGTAAAGGCAGTGAGTGAGACAGCGAATGCTTGTCTGTTGGCCGTAACAACAACAACAACAAAAATTCTATTAATTCTTGTGCAATTAGTTGGCTTTTTGTGCTAATCAAGCTGTGAATTTACATAAGAAAGATTGGGGTGTGTTTGTGTGTGTGTGGCCCGCAGCACAAAACAAGCAAGCAACAAACTATCATCATCAACGTTGATTATCAAAACTTAAACAGTTGTCAAATAGCCGCAAGATTAATTGGTAAAAGACTAAATAAAAATAACCATTGCGTAGCAAACGCAGGAAAAGGGCAACAACAACGTTGACGATGCTTTCAAAAGCACATGAGAGCTTTTAAGCGACTGCGGCTTCGGCTTCGGCTGCTGCTGTATCTGATTTCCCACGTTTAGAACGAATCACAACAGAAACGCATCATTAATCATGCTAGGCAGCTAAAGGCAGAGCGAGATAGCCAGCGAGGAGAGCGTATGTCAGGCGAAGAAGGAAGCCGAAAAACTTTAGGCAGGCGAGTGGGCAGCGCAGCGCAGGGCAGGGCAAAGGCATGGCAGTCAAGAAGAAGCAACAGCCAAAGTCAAAGATGCATGAAAAGGCACAAAAAAAAAACAATAACTTTGCAGGCGGATGCTAGCAACTGCGCAATACTCTGTGCACAGTCTTGTTTATCGGACTCGGACTGCAAACAGTGACTTTCAAACTGCGGCTTTGAAGGATTTTTGCAATTTGTGATCGTGGGCGTAGTCCACCTACTATTGTGACTTCAGCTTTAAGGCTGCAAAGCGGATATTGCACAAAAGCCCGTATACCCTTTTGCACATTGTGAAGAGCGTATAAAAAGCGCGTTTTGGACTGTGTCTTGCTTTGGTTTGGGGCTTTGGTCGCGCTGCCGCTGCGCTGCTGCAGCGCTGCTCTGCTGCTGTTCTTTTCATGGTCAATCACCCGACGCTTTTAAAGGAGACGCAACAAACACACACACACACACACAAAAAGAAAGAAATACTACAACAAAAGCGACTAATTACAATCATTTGTGACTTTCAAATGGGCGAGAGAGATGCCTATCGCTTAATAGGCGCAGCACTAATTGGAGCGAGCGAGAGAGCGCATGTGGCATATTAATCAGAACAGCCCCCCTCCACCCCCCTCCCTTTCGCACAACCTTTTTGACGATCTATCCAGCTGCAATTGCGCCTGATCCTCCGCCTGGGCAAGTTCATTGCACATGCCCCGCGACACACACACACACGCACACACGTACACACAGTAGACACAATTTTTTTCTTATATTTTGTTTACTTTTTCCAGCGACGCAGCCGCCGGGCAACAACAACAGCAACAACAACAACAGCAACAATTGGGGACTGGCAAAAACTGGTTTCTTGTGTTAACAATTTTTCGCTCTTTCGGCGTCGCTCTTAAATATCGAACTGGCTTTTCGAATATGCCCAACGAAAACCAAAAAACTGAAACCACCAAAAACCAGTTTACCGACTTCAAGGAACTTCAGCAGGCATCTCCAACTCCGCGGGGGTGTCCGAAAAAAAAAAGGTAGAAAAAAACTGCAAGCAAGTTGTCAGCCAGGCTAAACAACCCGAAGCCGAAGACGCAGCCGAAACCGAAACCCAAACCCAATAGAGAACTGCGTGTTTGTTTTTGGGTATATGCATATACCCTGTACTTGTGGAAAATGAGTTGGAAAGGTTAGAGAAACGAAGGCAAGCAAAGGGTAGGAGTTCACAAAGTTTGTATATGGAATATATGTTCTCAATAGGAAGTATTCGTCCTTATCTATCTTTAATTTTGTATACGAGCATCTACTAGGGGAATATAAGAGTTAGAGACTCCAAATTTGGTATGTGGCTTCTTGTAGACGAAACGCACTTCGAGTTTCACTCACGATTAAACGACATTTCGACGGAATTTTCAAAGAAGAAAGCGATCCTTGGAACGTTCTCCTTTGAGGCAAGTAAATCTCGGAGATTATAAGATGTATCTTTTTGGCGAAAGAATAAAAGATAATAGATTCTGTGTTGTATAGAAAGTAACGTAGTGTAGAATATAGAGCTGGAAACTCATGAATACCCTGATATTCAAAGTAGTGTAGGATATAGATATACGAAGAGCCTGGGATTCGAGCCTCGTTTTTCGGATATGGTATACTGATACAGGGTATTTCCCGAACAACCCCCTTTCTAGCTTGCTTCTTTCTATTCTTCTTGGACTCGAGTGCGTCTTTGTTCTGTGCGGAGTTATTAGACGAGCTTGTTTTACGACCATGCCCGCTCAGACCCAGAAACAAAATCAACAGCCCGATGATAATCACAGACATGAAACTATTTTCAAAGGCACTTAAAACCAGGCGCGCATAAATCTTGACAAGTGTGGGGGACACAAGGAGCACGAGAGGGTAGGGGGGGTTGGGGGCAAAGGCATCGTAAAACAGCGACTAGCTGTTGATTTCTGAACTGGGTTTTTTTTTTTTAATTACAACACGCAAGGCACGCGGCGAAAGTCAGCCAGAAGGAGCCTTAAAAGAAGCAGAAATCAAAGGATGAAGCCATAATTAATTTGTGGCGAGAATATGGCAATTATTTGGGAGCTGAGCTGCGCGGGCGTAGCTGCCAGGCATTGGCAGGCTAATTTATTGTAACGGCAACTGACAGTTCGAACCCCGAACCCACTTTCCTTGCTGCTGCTGATAAATGGAGGCTGAGTGCGACCTGATTTCGCCTCAAAACAATAAAAAAGTAAGAGAAGAGAAGTAAAAGGGCAGATCGCATTCGATGACTTGCCGAAATGGCAGACTTAACGGCAACTTCAAGAGACGCCTTCAATTGAGTTAAGTCCTGCGCGACAGCTGCTCAGCTCGTTAGGGGTAGCCCCTCAATTGGAGACAATGCGGGCAGGTTTCGTGCGGTCGTGCCCCTAATCAGATGACATAAATATGTTGCGATCAAAATCAGCTTGTCACAGTTGACAGGCAGTCCAATGTAATTGCTGGAGTTGATGGGAAAAGTTCTTATCGCTAGTCGCAACATTTGTACTGGGAAAGGACAAGAGCAGCCGGGCAGAGAAATGTGAGACAAATGTGACATTTAAACAATTCAAATGCGTTAAATGAGCGTGCGGAAGGGCTTAATAATTGACAATTGATGTAGTTAGTGAAGGCCCTACGGATTACAAAGATAAACGAGGCAACAAAGAAGGGCAAGTCCTTGCTTTTTCGTTAAGGATCTCAGTCTTATTGACGGATCAACACGTTCCTTATGTTGGTTTCCCTATGGATATATCTTAATGGGTAGAAATAGAAACGAGTCTTTCTTAACGTCTTAATAAACTCATTTAGACTTTGCTCACAAAGTTTTAAAAGGTTTCTAGACTGTTTAAGAAGGTTTTCAAAAGTCCGGTATTCTAATTTATATTCTTGACTATAAACTAAGATCTTTAATCAAAGACAAAAATTAAATGCAAACTCAAGTTCTCGAAATGAAGTGAAGTGAAGTGAGTGGTTTCGAACCGCGAATCGAACCAGCGACCTTTCTTTTGAGTTTGCCGCCCCGTTGGCAACTTGATGAACAGCTTTAGAAACAACTCAGTTCTTGCAAAGCAAAGTTCATTTTGTTATCCAAACGAGATACAAAATCTTGCAAAGGTGTTGTTTGCCACAGGTAGTGGCATCATGGCCAAAACTAAGGCTACCACAGGCCAGCAACTATTTGCTTTTGGCCATATTACCAGGAATTGGCAAGTGGTCGATAAGCCAAGTTGGGAGGAGCAGAGGAGCCGTGCTCGATGCGCGATGCCAGGTGTCGGATTGCATTAGACGACTGTCTGTTTGTTCCGGCCACACGCAATACAAAGAGCCGCAGCCAAGTCGAGTCTGGGCCAGCTTTCAGCTACACTCAACGCTCATTAACAGCTTATGGAAGCGGCAGCACGAACTGTGTGGTAGCCACACCAAGTGGCATGCGGCATGTGCCACAGCGGGCCGAGGCGTGCGGACAATGTGTCAAATTGCGCAAGGCGACAGGAAGAAGAATGGAAAAGCGCTGCGAATGGCAAACATGTGTGAAAACTCAAGACAGACAAGCGGAGGCTGGGCAGGTGCTGAGGGGGGCATTGGAGAGGGGGAGGGGAAGGGCGGCAACAGTCGGGCAACATTCGGAGGCAGCTAAGAGTCAGCGGCTGATGTCTCCATTAGGCGCGGCCGTTCCTAATGAATGACTCGCTCTCTTTAAAGGTGAAAGCTCAGGCCATGAAATTGTAAGACCATGCACCCCCCCCTCCCATTCGACCTGTCCCCCTCCTCACGCAGCTACCCACATCATGGCCGCACCTCACCCCTGGCAGGCATGACGAATGCTTGCCACAGTTTATCGCCACATGTTGCAATGCCAAAGCAAAGCAAAACAACAACAAACAAAACAACACAAAGAACAGTTAGTTCGGCTCAACCGACTTTTCGATACCCTAGGCTATACATAAGACAGTACATCTATAAGGCATTTCCAGTCATCTAATACCCTATAAATGCGGTATGCCGTTTTCCCAGCTTTGATCAGGCCAAATGTTTATTCTCTTTTAAACTCATTTTCCACACGTGAAAAAATATGTAAAATAAATTTACGAGTTCTACCTTTTACACACATTTCCACATGGAGCAGGGTATTTTCCAACCGCGAAATATATTTGATTTAAATTGTGTAAAATCAGCAAAAAAAAACTGCAAAAACTGAATTTCCGCCCATTTTCCGAAAGAGCTCGTGAATTTTCCAAAACATATTCAAAATGTATTTTTAAATATAGTGCTGAGAACCTAGTTTAAGTACGTAGGAAACTTAATTTTCAATACACAAACTGAGCGTGTGATCTTCCACCCAGGATAGTGGAATTTTCGAAAAGTGTGAAACACATTCAAATTGGATTTGTTGCTGCTATATTCACCAATTATCAATCCAATTGGAAGAAACAGACAAACAATTATTTGTCAAAGGCAATCTACATTTTTAAGCGTTACATATTTCGTGACAAGTTGAAAAGCACCCGCTTGAAGGGCATAAGAAATGTACAACCCCAGTTTTATTTTAGACTATTCCACATGGTTGCCCTCTGCCGGGTCTGTCAATGCCTACCCCATATGCCAGCCTATAAATAGGCATAGAGTCTATACCGAAAGTGGAGAGAGAACGAAGAATGCAGCATCTGGATCTGGCTGTGCATAGGTCGGGAGTGTTGGCTATGCGACGACGTCGCCACCCCGACGAGCTTGAGCAAGGCGAGGATGAGGAGATGGCGGCGGAGGCGGAGGAGTGGCAGATTGGCGGGCACTTGCAGCGCCACAGACTGATGGCGTTGTGTGTCGCACTGTTTCCACTAATAATAATGATTGTGCTCTTACTTGGATTATTGTTGGCCTCGCGCCAGTGAGCCGCGGCGCGGCAACCGAAGGTGCTCCGTGCTAGACCCTTGCAGCAGCTCCACTTCTTGCCGGACCAGAGACCAGGATGATACCGATACGACTTGGGCGTGTTGCTGTCCTCGCAAACTGAAACATGAAGAAGCAGAAAGAGTTCGACAACAATAAAAACAAATATATATATCTCGTATATATCTGCAAAGAAAAAGATTCGACCCACACACAGCTGACTCTGCAGATTTGGGTTAAGCATTGTTGTGGCTCTGGCCTGGATGACTCCAAGGCTCCGATGGCCACGTTGATGTTGGCTTATCGTGCTGCAGCGATTGGCAGCTGCTGCATCTGCAGCGCTTTTATTCTTAGCAGCCTGTACCCTTTACGAAAATATTTGCAAAGGGGTCTATTAGCACAATGCCTAAGCATGTAACAGGCGGTAAGAAGGAACATCTAGCTGGACTCGTCATGAAATGTAATGGCTAGAGAGTACATTATGTACAAGTAGCATATTATCGATAACTCATGTATATCGATAAACAGTTATCGTTTTTGGGCAAATCTCAGAGTAAAAAGTGAGAACTAGCGGAGTTGATCATGATGTATATAAGCTAGCGACTTGATATGATGTTCTCGTTGTGTTATCGATAAATCTCCAATTTGACACAAATCGATATGTGTATATCGGTTTACAGTTGTCGTTATTTATATATATTAAGACGTTCATAGATGCAGACTACGTCAGTTTTTCAATAGTTGTCTTAAAATCGATATATATCGATATACAGCGTGTTGTTTTTTGAGCATATCGTGAAGAATAAGATAAATAATCCATATACATATATTGATGCTGCAGTCTGGTTTTTTTGAGCATAGCTCCGAGAATAAAGGTGCTAGAGCACACAATTTTGTATCTATACAAAGAATATCTATATGCTTACGTCTATATACCAACATATTTGGTACATATACAAATTTAAATAGAAGTCGGAAGTTTCGTATAGATCGGACTATGAACACAGAGCTTATTTAAAATTCTGGGAAAGAGCTGGGTAGAGGGTATCTCCTAGTCGTACACTTGAGCTTTGTTAAACTGTTTTTTTTTTTTTTTTGGGTCATCATTCAATTCGCGCGTCTGTTGGTGCTGTCGATGTCGAAGCTTACCTTGTCGTATGGCGCGTATCCACTCGCTGCGCTCCTTCTCGCTGTTGGCTATCACGTAGAGCGTGTACTGCGGCACCGCTCTGCCCACCAGTTGCCCCTCGCCCAGTTGCTGTTGGTCCGCCGTCTGCTGCGGCTGCTGTGCGGCTGTCGTCTCGCAGTAGCCCACTTGAAACGGGTAACCCTGGTAATTGGTCGGGCAATGCGTTAATGTTAATGTTAATCTTAATCAAAATCATTTTACGGTCTACTCACATCCGGCGCAAAGGGATCGCCGCCCTCGCCGTTAACAGTCGCCTCCTCCACGAGGCGAACGCCTTTCAGATTTATTCGGCCCCGTTCGCGGCGTCGCTGCAAGGAATAAAGAGAGCGAGAGATTCGATTAAGTTTATATTTGAATGTTTTAGAGAATACTATTTATGGGCTGCAGACTTTTAGGTGACGAATCGGTTAAGGTACTCATTTGAAACGGTTATGTTGCAATGTTAATACTGCTTTGATGGAAAAAGGTAATGGGACGAATCGGTTAAGGGATTATGTTGAGATTATGGCAGGAGTCGGTTATGGGGTGAACCGGTTATGGAAGAAGTCTGCGAAACGAACAGTTTAGAAGCGAAACGGTTAAGAGTTCCGATATTAAATAAAGCGGTTATAAGTTTGTAAAAAGTAACCAATTAAGAGGCAAACCGAGGCAGAGGAACCATCTAAGCCGGCTGGAAATAATAGGATTATAGGGCGAAAGAGTTAACCGATTGGGTAGCGAAACGGTTAGAAAACATTTCGGCTATGATTTGAGGTGCAAACCCGGCTATAAGACTAATCGGTTAAGAGTGGAATCCCTTATGGAATAGAGCAGTTGAAAAGGGAATAGGTTCTCGGACTAACCGGCTATAAAGTGAAACGGTTTTGTGACCGGTTAAAGCACGAAACGGTTATAAGCGAAGCAATCGGACTTAAAGTCGAATCAGTTATGGGACAAGCCGATGGCAAATCTGACTCTGAATTAAACTAAGCAGAACGTTAGTCTTATATATGTGTTGAGGCGGTTATAAGTTATAGAAAACTACGTACTACTATTGGGAATAAAAGGAATCGGTTAATCCTAAAATAACTAATTGATCGTGTTCTGCTTGTACCTAAGCGAAATATTCGTTAAGCAATTGTGTGACATTTCTGAAATACCAAACCCTTGAAGCCCCATCAAAGGCATTTAAGTGGGCGTAACAACCCCGAAATGATGTTAAGATTTTATCGATTTAGGCAGCCAAAAACGAGTAAGGAAAAGACCCTTATGAAGTGCACGCCCTGCCAGAAAACATGCAACTGGTTTTCGAGGCAACGTTTAATAAAGTGCCACTAAAAAATTCGTCAGCTCTTTTTTGCTGCTCTTGTTCTTGCTCTTGTTGTTGTTCTTGGCCTGGCATTCCACTTGGCGGCACTTAAGTGACGTCCTGGCTGGTCCTTGCGACTGCAGCTGAGGGTAATTTTTGCACGTGTGCCGTGAGCAGGCGTGGACGTGAGGGAACGGGGTTAACTGACTACCGCAATTGTGCTGCATGCGCAATTAAGCCAACATAATTGGCCTAATTGACTTGACAGGGCCTAAAAGTGCGCGAGAGGAAGCACCAAGAAATGGCTTTGCTTTTTCTTGCTACTCTGCTCATTTTCTCATTTTCATTTTCTTTTCATTTCATTTTTTTTTTTGGCTGATTAGTTGTGATAAATCGTAAGCGAACACACGCAGCGTGGCGTCATCGAGTGAAAACCGAGAGATAAGCACGTCGTCTCAGTGTCGCTTAACCCGCTTCTGGCTTATCGCAACTGAGAGAAATAAGAAGAAGAAAAAAAGAACCTACAAAAACCAAGCAAGACTTTGTGTAGCCAAAGTTTCAATACCCTTTGCAGACCAAAACTCTATATCGGAGCGATTGTTTCTATGTTTTGGTAGTATATGAAATAGTAGTAGATGATGTAGTACTATATGATATAGAGATATATGATATGGTGGTATATAATATAGTAGTATACGATATGGTAGTATATGATATAGTAGTATATCGTATAGTACTATATGATTTAGTAGTATATGATTTAGTAGTATATGATATAGTAGTATATGATATAGCAGTATATAAAATAGTAGTATACGATATAATAGTCCGATCTTGAGAAGATTTTGCAGCTATGTAGAATCTAATGTAAAGCTTTTTCATGTCAAAGTTGTTTAAGATATTGTGAACAGCAAAAGACTTTATTTTCGACCGATTATCCCAATGACAGCCATATGATATAGTGGGTCGATCCCTCCGATTCCTAAGTATATATGTACGTGCTGCAGCCTAAAGGAATCGTAGTACGAAGTTGCGCTGTGATAGCTTTGCTGGGAGCAAAGTTCACATAGGTAAGGGCTTCTATTTATTCAAATAACTCGAGTGAAAACATGCTTTATAGCAAAATTATAATGCCCGCCGCAAGGGTATCAACAAAAGTGAAGCAACAATATAAAAGAAAAATAAACATAAGCAAAAGGCAGCAGCGACAAAGTTGACACAAAGACCTCAAATAAACAAGCAGCGATTTCAAAAACTAAAAAAAAAAAAAACAAAGAAAATAAACCAAGAAACACTTAAGAGAAAAACAGGCCAGAGGCAGCGAGGCAGCACTTGGGGTCAGTGGGAGGGCAGAAACACAGCAAAATAATGAAGAAGAAACAAAAAATTGAACTTCCTTTTCAGCTTTTTTCTCCAGAACTTTTACCAGTCTCGGGTTGATAAAACAAAAACAAATAAACACAACAAAATTCTACAAAAATACATAAAAAATAGTATTTGGGTTAAGTCACAAGCAAAGTCGCGGCAGGGGGAGGTTCCAGCGAAAAGCGAAAGAATTGAAATGAAAATTTCTCAAGTAGCGTACAAAATCAACTTGACAGCCAATTGAAACTGAAATTGGAAATGGAAATTGAAATGGAAAATGAAATTGAAACGCACTTGAGGCATGCGTGCATTCAATTGCCGCTAATTTGAGAACAGATTAAGTGAACGGAAGAGAATGTTCTCCATAATAATCAACATCTGGCATGATCAAGATAATTGATGATGATGAGTTGAGAATCAAAAAGTTGTGCTGACAATAGAAAAATAGTATACAATGAACATGAGTGAAAATAATATGAAATAAACTGTAAAAGGAAAGTGAATCTGCAAAGAAAAAGTTAATTCTTCTAGAAATTGATTAACTTGGAGTTAAGACTAGTTGGGAATTACAAGGTTTAAGTTTAAATACTTTCAAGTAGCGGTTGTCTAGCCATAGATAAGTAATATATAATGAACATGAGATGAAAATAATATAAAACATATTAAAAGGAAAGTGAATCAGCAAGAAAAGTAAATGCATCCTTTTAGAAATCAAATAAGTCAAGACTAGTTGGGAATTGCAAGGGTTAATAGATTAAGGTATCTGTAGTCTAGCAAAAGAAAAGGAATGTTGACCATGAGTGAAAAGTATAAAGTGAAAAAGAAAGTCAATCATTAACGAAAGTATATATTCCTTAGGGAATTGATTGGCTTTTGAGTTAAGACTAGTTGGGAATTACAAGGTTAGATAGGTCAGAAAATAAGTAAATTATTATTGGAATTGATTAACTTGGAATTAAAACTAGTTGGAAATTACAAGCTTTTGTTGGTCAGCTGGAAATATTATGCCAAATACTTCCCAATAAATGTAATTGGTCTGATTTTAAGGGCCTTTCATAGACGAACACTCCAAAGACATATCTTTAATCCTAGATAGCAATTAAAGCTAGCCAAGCTTCAAAGGGTTGCCACAGAGTTCAGATTTCTATGTTCCTTGTGAATGAATGAAATTCGCAATGAGTGGGCGTAGCAGAGCGAAAGAGAGAGAGAGAGAGACTGAAGAGAATGAAACCAAAGAAGAGTCACAATTGGAGCGGCAAACAACCGGCGGCTGTCGAGGCGAACAGCCGGTCGCCCGACCCGGTCGAGCCGTCAGTCTGGCAACATCGTCAAAACCCTTTGACGCTTCCTGCACGTCAGGGCTGCCATGTTGTGCCACTTTCCAGTGAATAGCGCATAAAGTAAAAACTTTGAAAATTACAAAAAAACAAAAAACAAAAAAGCTGGCAACTAGCAATTGAAATGGAAATGAAAGATGCGAATGAATGAAAATTTATGGCCAAGTTGTGTGTGCGTTGTCTGTTGTGTGTGTGGCATACTAGTTGAGAATCATGGCAAAACTTTGCGGGTTCAATGAACTAGCAATATGTGTATGTGCGTGTGTGTGCGTGTTGTTGCAACAAATTGGCAAACGCGACATGTGGCACTAATAAACGGCAAACGAGTGGGTTGCAACCGCAGGCACGCAGTCCCATAAAATCAGCAGCTGTTTGTGATTTACATGTGAAGAGGAGACAGCAATCAAGCAGCGCTAGAGGAAGAGAGTGCGCAGAGAGATGGGCGGCGAGGGTGTTGGAAGGCGGTTTACTAAACTCAAGACCTTTGCAACTAATTTTTGGGCAGACTCTCTGGAAATCGAAATCGAAAGGCAGCTTCAAAAAAGTGAAAGTCAATTAATGCAACATTAATCAAAAAGTGCCATTAAATGCAGCCGGTTTGGAACCTTTAAAGGCGGCCCAGAAAGGGGCGTTCCATCTGTTGAGCCACTAAAATAAGTGTTGAACAATAACCATTAGAACTAGCCACAGGCTGTGGCCAGTGTTGAAGAGGCTGCCGCTATTGAACAGGCGTTGCCATGTTAAAAAAAATGACAAAATGTTCATTTGGAAATATTAAAAGATAATTAGAAGAAGCAGAAGTGTTCTAGGCAAGCGTGCGAGACCTGAAGATACCCTGTAATCAGCTACATAATCTTCTGCAGCTTCCTTCTTTTGCTCCAATAGTTTAAGAAGAAAACTTTCTCAAAGAACTAGCATTTTTATAGTCCGATTTATATAATATTTCCAGCACATCAAGATGCATATAGTCAATATAAAAGACTTTACATCTCGATATATCTACTACGACTACATATCAAATTCGTGGTCCACAGATACTTTTGCGCAGCATAAGATACATTTTTAATGCATTTAAATCTTGTCGCAAGTTTAAAAGAGGTCAGAACTGAATAATTCGTTAGAAGTCAGAGCTCAGCACAAACTTCTTCTTGTTGAATGGTGTAAAGTTGTGCTGCAATTTCCGTGAACACAAAAGAAAAGAGATGAAAATAAAAGAAATGCAAAAAAAAAAAAAGAGTAACACAATATGCGAAAGGACAACAAAACAGTTTGAAACACGAAACGTTGTCCAAAAGGGGCTGGCGGAACCTTTGACGGT